GAACCTGTCACCACGACTGCCCACAAGCTCTCATTTCCTCCTCACACGATCTCCTCCATGTCACCCTCAGCTGGGAAGCCCAACTAGTTGCTTCCCATCTGGCTTCCACTCGAGGACCTCGCGCGATGACCCCAGTCAGATTTCTCAGTGTATGCCCAATCCAATCCATCTCCACTTCCTTCAACCGCATATTTGTTCAGCGATAGGTTCTTGGTTAGTTCGTTCCCAGAGCTCCTTGTTGCTTATTCTTATTATTCTGGCCACCTGAACTTCAGTAACGAGCCAGTGTAGGCAGCAGCTGTTGATGAATGTCTGTAGTTTGTTGGAAATCCCTTTCGTGATGCGCCAAGTTTCTGAACCACACAGGAGCACTGACTTGACGTTGGTGTTCAAAATCCGGATGTTGTTCACGCTTTATGCTGAGTGCAGTGCAGAAGATCTACACACTGGTTTCAGGTTAATGAAAGCCTATCTTGCTTTTCCGATTCCGACTGTCTTTGACGTCCTCGTCTGTGCCGCTACCTGCAGTTGGAACAGTGCTGCCTAGATAGGTGTAGGTGAAAGAGGCTACTTCCTTGAAGTTTCTCCCATTGATGGTGATTGGAGTTTGTTGTTGCTGTTGCTGTTGTTGGTTGGGTATCTTCATCACCTCTGTCTTCTCTACGTTCACTTGAAGGAAGTTTCGTCTTCGCTGCCTCTTCTGTCAACTTGTTAACTTTTGCCTGTAGATCTTCAAGTTTGTGTGACATTAGACATAAGTCATCGGCGAAATCCAAGTCCTTTTAGTTCTTTTTCGTGGTCAAATAGCGTGTTTTCTTCTCCTCGCTCCTCACCGTTTGTTGCATAATCCAGTCGACCACGATCACGAACATCGTGGGTGATAGTAGACAGCCTTGTTTCACTCCTGTCTTCACTTCACTTCAAAAGCATCACTGATCTGAGCTTCCCATTGTGAATTACTTGGCTGGCATGTGGCGTCTTCATATACCCAGCTGTTGAATCAGATTGATAAAGGTTTGTGGTATTCCATGGTGTTGAAGCAACTGCCTGTCAAATTACTTCTCGATCGACACTGTCGAAGGCCTTTTCAAAGTCGATGAAATTGAGGTAGAGAGTTGACTGCCATTCTACACTCTGTTCTATGATGATGGGTAGCTCAGTGTTGGTCCGCATATGATTTGTACTTCCTGAAGCCAGCCAGCCAGCCTGTTCTGGTCGTAGTTTTGAATCCAGTGCATCCTTTAGTCTCTGCAGGATGATGCGGCTTAATATTTTGCTCATTTGGTGTGGATAGCAGCGTGATTCCGTGCCAGTTCTTGCAAACACTTAGGCCGCCCTTCTTTGGGAGTTTGACAAGATAGCCCTTCTCCCACTCAACTGGTGGGTACCTTCCCTTCCTTCTTGACCTTCTGCAATAGTGGTATGAGCATGTCCACTGCTGATGTATCTGCGTCTGTTCTCGGTGCTTCTGGTGGGATTCCATGTGTTCCTGCTGCTTTCCTGCATTTCAGTAGCTTTATGTCATTCAGGACTTCGGCTTTTGTTGGAGGATTTGCGTTCACTTGTAGTTCTGTGGCTGGGCTGCAGGTGGTATTTCTGGACGAAGTGCAGGTAGTGTTAGTGGTCGATTCAAGAGCGTTTTGAAATGGTCTGCTCATCGTTTCCTTTGTTTCTCTTCTTTGGTAACTAGATTTCCTCCATCATTTTTTATTGGTTTCATGTGTGTTGATCTCTTCCCTGCCAGATAGTCACCTGGTTATTTGATACAATGTTGTCAGGTCTCTGCCTCTCTTACCTGCAGCCTGTTCTGCTTCACTTGCCAGTGTTTCGTAGAAGTGTCTTTTGTCTTTGCGTGCACTCTTCTTCACTTCTTTCTCCAGTGTTTTATGCACTGTACTCGGTTCCTCTACTCGCTGTTCATCTTTGCGCTAGTTTATCTTCTGCTTCACCATCCTCCTCTCCCTGCTCTATCGGCTTCCATGTGTCCATCGAGATCCATTCCTTATCTTCTTTCACCTTCCTTCCTAATAGGGTTATGAAGGTTTCTTTCCACATCTTTCCAAAGACTTCCAGTGTTCTTCTACACAGGTTTCTTCAGGGATGATCCTCGATATCTCCCATTTTGTCCTGATGGCTGACGTGAAGATGTACTTTGTAGTTTCGTCCTTCAGTTTCCGAGTGTTGTACTTGAACTGTGGTCTATCATCAGCTTCCTTGTAGGCTTTTAATTTGATTTGGAAGGTTCCTTGCACTAGACAGTGAGTGGTCTGAGCCTACATCTGCTCCCCTTCTTGACCTTGTGTCAAGTAGACTGTGTCTCCATTTTCTTGAGATTGAGATAAAGTCGATTTGATTTTTAGTGTGTCCTGGTGTCTGGTGAAATCTATGTCGCTGGCTTTGTGGATATCCTTGTGCTTGAACACAGTGCCTGGCCTTCAATCACCAAATCGTTGAATGCGTAGAATTCTGCAAACAATTCTCCATTCTCGTTCATCCCCTTACCGAGCGCTTCTCGACACATGGTTAGTTCTCTTCCTGTGTTGTCCCCTCCCTGTTTGGCATTCATGTCACCCCACCCATTAGAATGTATTTTGATGTCTCCAACTGACGTCTTGTCCAGTGTTGATTACAGTTGTCTGTAGAATTCCTCCTTTTTCTCTTGCTCTGCATTATTTGTGGGTGCATAGCATTGTATGATTGTGACTTTCCTTCCTTTGAGTTGAACCTTGCTGTCATGATCCTGGAGGAGACTGGTTCCCACTGCATGAGAGCCTTCGATGCTGTTGGGGACATCATGATAGCCACTCCATAACTCAGTGTGCTCGTGGTTGTCGTCTGGGTGACAATGTCGGAGTGAATTATTGATTCTCCAGTTGACAGTTTGGAGAGTCCACTTCCATTCCATCTGCTTTCGCGAATTCCTAGCACTTCATTGCGATACCTTGTCATCTCTTTTGCAATCTGGGCTGCCTTGCTGGGTTCAAACACGGTGCGGACATTCCATGTCCCCACGTTTACTTCCACTTTCATTGAGAGAAGAGAAGACACATCGGCCAATGGGCTTCCCGAAGGCTTTCACCAACTGGCGTCATTTCGCCTCTCCGATTCCAGCGAGGAATAATTTTGTTATTATTTTTTATATATCATTTGTGCTTTGAAGTTTCTCTAGCGGTTAGATTTGTTTTCCGGGGTAGGGTTTCTAGCCCTATGCCCAACCTTCCCTCTTTACCCGGGCTTAGGACTGGCTAGTAATTGGTAAATTAGTTAACCAGGCGAGCAGCGATAATCTATGCTCGCAGCGTCATCCAGTGAATAACACTGTATCACTATGTGTGATTAATCAAATAAACAAATCTAATATGGAATTAAATTCTACCACAGTGCCCAAGTTTTACACCTATATTAAATTATCACACACGTACTTATCATTGGCCTTTATATGAAAAATTACAGAGTTAAGCGATAGCAAAGTCATTATCGGTCAAATTAAAAGTCTATATTTAAGGTCAAAATAACAATAAAGTTCATTAAAGCAACAACAAAGTTTATAGTACAACAATCTTGGGTTTAAAGCCAAATTCACCGAGGAAAGTTTGATGCAATGATAAATCATTTCTGAACGTATAGATATGGGTTAAACTTCCTAATGGCTAATGCCTCAAGAAACTTTCAAATGCATCCCAAACAGGTTTTACATATAGGCTTAAATGATGTCCGTACAACCATAATATACCGCGTTTCAATAATGTGTTTAACTATTCAGGAAATTGAATGTTTTTTTCTGGAATAAATATATTCACTATTTCCCTTTCTCTGCATTCTACAAATCTTTAATTGGGAAATATAATTTATTACCATTATTTGTTCCTTGGGTTCCTAGTGGAATATAGGGCTTCAGTAGTACGTCGCCATTTAACTCTCTCCTCTGCAGTCCCTGGAACCTGGCTCCACCATTGCCGATAAGCTTTCATTTCATCCTAGCACCATCTCCTCTAAGTCACTCTCGCACACCCAACTCGTCGTTTCTTACACAAGTTACACTCGAAGGCCTGACCTGGCCTGGTGCGTGATGTCCCCAAAACGTCTTCTCAGTGGATGTCCTGTCCAATCCAGTCCATCTCCACTTTCTTCCACTGATTATTTGCTGGGTGATGGGTTGTTGGTTGGTTCGTTACCAGTCAGCCAGCCAGAGTTCTCTGTTGCTTACTCTTATTATTCTGGACATCTGATCTCTATCTTCAGTATCGAGTGAACGTAGGCGGCAGCTGTTGATGTGATGTACGTCTGTAGTTTCTCGGAAATGCTTTTCGTAAGCCGCCAAGTCTGTGAACCATCACATAGAAGCACTGACTTGACTGAATTAGTGTATTATAATACGATGGTGTATCCTAGTACACACACTGTCATTAATTTGAAGAACTTTGATCAACAGATAACTATCAACTTTCATCTGAGAAGTAATAACTTTCCAGAAAAACAAAGAAGAAATAACTAACACCTACAGTGTTGAACGGTAGATGTAAACCACGAACTGCTCAAAATTAAAAGATGCTCATCACTGGACCTTAGTGAAGTAGAATACGAACGCTTTGGATTTGACAGATAGAACTAACTGAGTAGTTAGAAATGGGAACAAAACTACGCTGACTATTCACTAGATGGTTTCACATTGTCTAGCCTTACATATTCACAGAATTCTCCAGACCATTTTGGAGTGTGCTTAAGAACTTGGAACACTTAGTATGTAGGTTCATTTCGGTTGGCCCTTCTTGGCCTAATTTTCTGATCCATTCCTATGGAAAGTTGACTTCAGCCAGAATAACCTAGTGTTAACGGCTGATAAATGCCAACAAGTACGAGCAGGGCCACCGATCGACTACCTGCAACCAAGTGAGATGAAAGGAACAAAACTTATGTACGCTACGCCATCATTTTTAAAATACATTTTTCTTTGAATAGTATCTAATAACAATAGTTTATTTCCATTTCTTCAATTTCAGTGCATGATCAGTGGTTAACCTACAAACGACCTCGATGGACAACCCGTGGAAGTGACTCCGGTGATATATGCTTTAATGAGTTAAACCTGGAAAATCTACCAACAGTAGTCAATGGGCCCACGGGTTATTGTATTTCTGTATTTGGTAGCTGTCCATATAAATGTAAGAAGTGCAGAAAAAATAGACGTTTGTATATTTTGTTTATAATAGGGTAATTTTTAAAACCTATCGCCTGGGGAAAAAAGAAAACATAAAATATAAACTACTCATAAGTAGGCAGTTTATTCTGCATACTTTTTGTGACATTTTCATCTTCAAACAGGTAGGGTGGTTAACTTACGTGCGAAGATTTATTTGCTTATGGAGCTTCATCGACAAATTATCATCAAAATTTATTTATAAATTGAATTTTTAAGTCTATGAGAAATCACCTATTACGATCATAGGACAAATGCAGATCTAAAAAGTTTGATTACGATATTGTCTGGCTTATTACATTTTCATGCTTAACACCAGTGAAATACATGAAAGAGAATTTATCAACAGTAAATAACACGCTGCAAACTTTTTTTTAGTTTTTTATGTACAGCATCTAAGGGAACAGGTCATAGCATAGCAGTAGAGATAGATAATACACCAAACTTGAATAAAATGATGCCATGTAGCTCGTTGAATTACGAGAAGGATTACTTTTCTAACAATGTAACTAACATTAAATATCATGCGATATTTATCTCTCTATGACGTTTCATAAACAACTTGTATGCTATTTATTCTAATCTGACTGACGGTGAACTTTAGTACAACCATTTTGTTCCATGTAGAGTATATCAGTTTTTTGAAATTTTTATTTGAATGAATATTTATAACACAATATTCAACTAACGATACTCCTTCGAATAGGATAAAAATTACTCCCTACTTCTCACGGCTAGCCATTCTTTAAACTAATGTTATTAATAATACTTGGGCAACCATATTTGGATGTCCATATGCTGACATTCCAACCAAACAAAATGAAGAGTATAAAAGTATAAGTCTCATATAATTACAGATAACAGCCTAGTTGTTTTTATTGCTATTTAACTTTCCGCAGATCTGAAATCAATGCATCTATCTTAACCGTACACTGATCGATTATTCTGTCCGAATTAATCCCTACGATGAAGTTAGATTTCATTTTATATTTGCAATCATATATTGCTTACAATCAAGTGGAATAATCCTACTTAAATGATAAATAATTTCAAAGTCATCGTCTGGATTTGTTGTGTAATGGAAGTCAATCAAATGTTCTAGAATCGAACTTCTAACAGCCTTTCTTTCACCTTTATTAAACCAAGCAGGAACATGTCCTCGTATACGTGTAGAAAGCTTTCTCTGGCTACGCAGCAGGACTTCAGTTGACTTTTACCAACCGCAAACTATTCTCCACCTGCGTTAAAGACAAGCTTTCTCGTTTTGCCGCCTCTATGTGCATCTACCAGTTCACCTGCTCTTGTAGAGCAAGATACATCGGCCGTAGCCAGAGAAAGCTTTCTACACGTATACGAGAACATGTTCCTGCTTGGTTTTATAAAGGTGAAAGAAAGTCTGTTAGAAGTTCGATTCTAGAACATTTGATTGACTTCCATTACACAACAAATCCAGACGATAACTTCGAAATTATTCATCAAATTCGCCCAAACCTCCCACGTTCTCTTCCTTCTCAACTCCTTAAAACAGCAGAGGCTTTAGCTATTCATGAACTAAAACCTGATCTGTGTGTACAAAAGAAGTATGTGCAGTCACTGTCTTCATCATGGCCATAACATTTCCCCACCCCATTAGCTCCCCCCCCCCCACTTTGTTAATTTAACCTTTGTATCCTTCCTTTATCACTATTATTGTCATTATAATCGCCTTCACTTCAACTAGTTTCCGGTGTTATTTCACTTAATTGTCTTAATCCTTTTACAAAACACTGACTTCATCTTGTCCAATTTGTCTAATGCCATTACATAATACTTAATTGATTTACCACTTTCAACAATTTTTTCACCCCTTCTGAGTTATATACTCTCTATGTACCAATCCATATATTACATAATCTATTTGTTATCATTCGCACTTCAATTGTTATTATAATCATAAATGCCTCTGTCATCATCTGCTCTATTATTATTGTCATCACCATATAGTGTCTAGTTTTCTTCACGGGATACAATTTTTTCCAAATATCATATATATATATATTATTAAATTATTAAATCATTAAATGACAAACCAGAATGCATGATAGTAGTGTAATGAATGCTTTTTATAATAATGTATACCAGTAGCATATAACTCAACATCTAAAAATCCCAAGACGCGATAATGACAAACTGATGGAAATTAAAGAAGGAAGAAGACATAATTTTTAACAAAAATATTATTGCCGAGAATACTACACACTGACATACCGAAAAAAAGGTGAATGTTCACTAGTGTGACTTTCTGTAAAGTTTGATATTATTTTTTTCTTACCAATTTTAGTTTTTCAGTGAGCAGTCTCTGCTACTTCATTAGGCTTCTCTTCACTAGTAGTAACAGCAGATGTTCTTACTTGATATTTCTCGAGCAAGGAAATATCTCCATGATGCGATAAGACTCATAACTTAACAAATACTGTATATTCAGTTACGATTACATGACCAGTTCCACCTGTCCCGTTGTCATACACATTAGGGAGCACAAACTGACGTGTACATATCTAATTTACTCCATTATGCCCAATAAAACTCTGTCTTTCCTTCTTTCTTTCTTTGTTCAGTCTTTACACAGGTTGGAGCCGCACCATATATGAATACTGTAATCTGTTGCTTAACCAGAGACTACATGCCTGATATCGATAAGCAGAACAAACAACCACCATCGTCATCAACAACAACAACAGCTACTACTACTACAGTTCGTTCATTTGTCACATTAGGTTGGCCATCATCAGATGACAAAAAAGCATTGACTAATTTCACTGGTACTAAAGTTTTAGCTACACAAGAACTATTAAAAGACACTAAATTTTGTCCTCAATTTCACGATATTCAATTGAAACGTCGTGTTTCCGAAAGTATGTATGTTCCAGAGAATTTATCACGTGTACAAAATAAACAATGGTTTGGACAAAAGGATATACTTACACTGTTCAACGTTTCAAAATCGAATGCTCTACAGTTTGAATCATTAACTGGTATCTGGTTGGAAAATGATATTGTACATGTTATATATTGCGAATACGCCACTGGTAAAGCGACGAATGATGACCTTCAAAGTAAGTCTGAATTCAAGTAGATTATTCTTATTACTTACAAGTATTAAAGTAGTTAAAGAATGAATTCTAAAATATTGGCTGTCACTCATGAATTCCTTTTTGACAGGTTACTTCATCGTATGGTTTTGAATTCCTTTTCATCACAGAAGTTTAAGCCGAGGTCTCGTCCTTTTTTATCGACCTGAGCTTCATGGTATAATTCTTTGTAAGGATTCGAAATATCTAAACTGTATGAAGAGGATAGGATTTAGTAAATCCATAGGTTTCAAAAGTTCTTTTCTTCTGTGCACAAGGTTAATTATCCAGGATAAAATATATTATTCATACAGTGTTCCCATGCTCATCCTCACTGAAGCAAGGGAAATAAAATTATCAAATTAAATCGTGCTCACATTTATTTACCAACTTCAAGTACGAAAAGCCTGAAATAAATACAGAACTGGTACACGATAAAATGGGAGTTGAAGTAAAGTAACCATTTACATCACAGAATATTGGTAAAACAGATGAAATCAGATGGAAAATGCTAGTAATGTGGGTACTGGTGAAAAGACTTCATTTATATGCAATTAGAAGAAAAATGCAGGAGTTTGAAAAAAGGGTGCAGAAAATAGTTAAAATAAGGATAATCACTTTTACAAATGATTTGCAAATTGCACTTCCCATTTTGATATTTTTCATCTACCTGGGGGGAGGGGGAATACGCCACTCAAGAGCTCTGGTTCAAAGGAAAGAAACGGCTTCTAGTTCAGACCACTCTGACCTTGCTTGCGAAACCTGCAGATCAGCCTGAGGAGTTTCTAACCACTCAAGCTGTTCAGCAGTTCATTTCGCTATTTCATGCCACAAATATTCATTGTTATAGTGACAATAATCATAGTTTTGATATAGCGGCGGGTGACGACTATTAAAGTAAATCTGAATTCATGTGGTTTATATTTTACTACTTACAAACATTAAAGTAGTTAAGGGTTAAGAACAAATAAAATTCAAGCTATACGATATATATTTCTGATAGCAGTAATAATGAGATAATCATAAAAACAATAATAGACTTTACGTAGAGGAACTAACAAATAGATTTCATATTAAAAAAGATACAAGATGGATAAGCGAAAGAAAAGGTATAGGTATCCAGTAGAAGGGTGAACACTTTTATCAAGAGGATGTTATATCAATTATTGTCTTTCTGCACACACAGATCATGTCTAAAGCATTTGATTGCTATTGATTCTTAAAAGCACAGAAGTACATAAGCCCTTTTTTATTTTTTATTTTAAAGGCTGTCAGGTTATTCAAGTTTCTACCCTATTTAGTTATATGATATATAGCTGAACTTGCGAACGATTTCGAATCGTTCAGTTCCAAATCTCATTGTAACATTATTTATTGATACTTATAATTTCCCCTGGTTAATAGGGATTGAGCTGATACGCTTCTGTTGCCAAATTTGCTCCTATCCAGATTCCTTGGTATTGCAGGTGGAATCCAGGATGCGCGTTTTTTCCCATTTCAAACCCTTTAGTTGGATGTATCCGCACCACAGTGACTGACAGTTATTGAGCAAGAGATGGCCCTCATGCTCCAGTGGTCTATTAGGAGGCTCTTTGGCGTTTGAAGCAATGAGTGTCGAGTTCCAGTCTTAATGGGTACAACATCAATCACCGAAATGCAGGTATTTCCAGCTAGTTATTCTCTGTCAAATGTTCAGAAAGACTAGCACAGGTTAATTCTTCTGTCTTTCTGATATACTTGCTTTGGCAAGTATGCAGGAATTTAGAAACATAGCTGGTGACAACACTGGATGGGTACTTGGTCAACTTCAACTGACATATAGCCTGGTTGATGATATTTGTGCGTACAAGTCTCATGGCTACGTTGGTTGTGGTAAGAGAGTCTCTGAACATCGTGAAAGTCCTTTCTGAAATGTAAACTGAATAGATTAAGACTATTTCTGGATTGCGGCTGTATTCTTTCTCTTGGTCCATACTTTGAATAATTCTTGATAAAACTTTTCTGATGGTTATTCTGTCAGATGTGTTGGTAAGAGAACTAACTCATCATTGGTTTTATCTTCTGAGTAAAGGTTTTTTTTAACTTTGTTATTCAACTTTCAAACTAGTTCATCTTTTTAATTCATTGGACAGAAGGTGATTTAGCTTAGATACTGCTCAGTTCATGTATCTTTACCACCTAATAGCATTTTAATGGGGATATATATGCCGAAGAATGTGTACATACTTTAACAAAACTCAAACGATTATTTTTATTCATGATATTCGACCTCAGTGTGTGCGTGATACGAAAACTCTTGAAATGCTAAAGAAATTTTCATCTTACACTACGATTCCTCATCTTTAGTCTCCAACAAAAAACTAGTAAAATCAAGGTGAAATGCTTTAGCATACTCGAAATAGCCAAGAAACGTATCACTGCACAAACTATTGCAAAGCTCTAGACTGCAACATATACGGTACACAAAATTAGGAAGAGAGTAGGCGATAAATTTAAGTGAATTTTGAGGGGTTTGTGGGGATTTAGAGATATTTCAAGTTGGTACTTATTGTAGATTGACATCAGTTGGAGGAACACTGGAAATCTGAAACCACTGAACAGCTGTTTTGTCCTAGTATGGGACTCTTCGGCAGTACTCACCCACGACCCCGCCAGGGATCGAGCCCGCGACCTACCAACACGTTACTATTGAGCCGCTGGGTTGAAACCCACTGGTCCATAGCTTTGAGAGCTGATTCCTGAAGTTTCGGTGAGAAGTCGTGACCAGTCGGGAAAACTCATGGCATTGAGGACAAATACTCAACGATGACATTGGGTGTCGGTCGCACTGTCATGAACTGACAGAAGTTGGAAGTATGGACCGTTAGATTCCGACCCGGTGGCTCAATGGCAACGTGCTGGCCATGGAACCTGAAGGTCGCAGGTCGATCCCTGGTGGGGTTGTGGGTGAGTACTGCCGAAAAGTCCCGTACTAGGATGAAATAGATGTCCGGTGCTTCCAGGTTCCCATTGTTCCTCCAACTGATATCAGTCTACGCTGAACACCAACTTGAGATAAATCTAAGAATAGAAAAAGGCGTCTTCATAACATTTTCATAATGTTCATCTGTATGAGTTGAATCAATCCAGGTGAAACGCTGATGAGGTTCATTGCAAAGCAGAGAAATGGTCATCCGGTATCAAGGTCACCCCGATTTGGCTAACAATCACTTCTGTTGTCAGTGAGTGGTCTAGAACTACTCATTTCTGTTAGTGGTATATTTAGTACAACGTATTGTGACACACGCGTTCTTCGCAACTTAAGCGATATACAAGTAAGATAAGTAATAATATGGTCAATTCACGCGATTTTATTCATATTCCTCAATGCTTCGTGGTTAAAAAGCCAATACAGTATTGACGTGAAACCTAGTTTCAAAGTCAGTAGAGAAATATTCTCTGTAATCCAGGAAATGAAATTAAGGAACAGCATACTGTACTCAACTTGACAACTAACAGTGGAGTCCAGGTCGCATGTTTCGTCTCATTTGGAACTCGTCGACTTGATGTACCTGCACTCTCGTGAGTGACGCTATTCCCAGTAAACCTTGAACTCAGTACCCATTGCTCCAAATGCTGAAATGTTATTCACTAAGCCACTGGGTTACGATAGCCACCTCTTGTGCAACGGGTATCAGTTGTTATTTGGATACTTGTAATTTTCCGTTATCAAACAGTGCTGAATTACCCGACGCATCTGCCAACAGAATTCGAGCAGTTTGACCCTGTATAACAATGGGAAATTACAAGTATCAAAATTGTTTTCGTTCCATCTGATATCGAATTTCACTTGTACCATTATCATTTTCAGGAAGAATTATATCGAACATCATACATTTAACTAATCTTTTAAACAAACTCATCTGTGTCTTTGTCACTTATAGATTGGCCTGTAGCAAATTACGCCATACCGAAATCCCTGAATGACTGTCCGAAAGGTTCAACGAAAGCAACAATAAGACATCAACAGGATAGATATGGGTTTCATTATTCACAGGTGAGATGTCTACTTTAACTATTTTATGTTCCTTTAATGAGGTTTTGCGGTAGATTATATTCACTGGCAAATAATTGTCCTAATTGCGCTTTATTTACTGATTGTAAGGGGAAGTTTCCTGATAAGTACATGAAAAGAGTATACAGATTACTGATGACTGATTTGCGTACATAACTCATTCCTATAGATGGTTTGTTGCTACCTAACTAGATAAAAGGTAAAGTCCTCTACCTCGTCAATGAGTGACACAGGTTGAAATTACTGAAGGAACACAAATTTCCCCATGCTTTTAGACGTGCCCTACTGATGAGTACCAACAACCGGGAAATCCCGAGGTAATAAGGTTTCTTCTCAGTTGACTGTCAGCATGTACTACCGAAACACATTGCAACCAATTGATAGACAGACTTTGATGAATGCTGAATATAAGGGCGTAGGTAGTTAGATCCGTTGCCCACTGATGACAGATTGCTATTAGTGTAGTATGCATTGTACGAAAACATTCCATTCCATACAAGATTAATTAAATAATGAGAGAAAGAGAGAGAGGGAGAGACAGAATAATGAAAATGACTTGAAATTACGGTTCGAAATGTGAGTAACTCATGTGGAATCTCTTACCTAATCCCATAAATTGTCATTTGATACATTCATAAAAATATACTTCAATGCTCATCAAATAATATTTTCAAAACTATGAATAAGGAATTTGTTAATGTAATATACTATTCATTATGTTACTCAGTCAACCAAACAGTAAGTTAATTAGTTACGTAGCGTCATCTTATTTCTTTGAGCCAGTAAACGATCAGGGGATACTTGAATATTCATCATGTATACAATTGTGTTTCAATACAGTGGACTAGTTTTCGACAAAACAATAAGAAGACGTAAATTGTCTGAACCGTGTAATGTATTTGCGCAACACATTTCGAACTATCTGATCACACACGTACTTGTCATAGGTATTTATATAAAAACTCATGAAGATAAGGGGTGAGAAAATAAAAAGGGGTCAGGTAGGAAGGCTGACTTAAAGGCCGAATAACAATGAAAATCAATAGAGCGAAAAATAATAGTACATCGAACTTGGTTTTTCAATAGTTGAATTTACCAAGGAAGGTTTAATGTGACAACAAATTGTTTATGAATACATAAAGGTGGTTTCAACTTCCTAATAGCTAAGGCTTCAACAAATTTCAGGATCCCTCCCCAACATGTTTTGTAAATAGGTGTAAAGGAAGTAGCCACATCAATCTTGTGACCTGTCTCAACGATATGTTTAGCGATCGAAGGACTTGGACGTCTGCTACCAACATTTATAGGTTCAGGTGATTTAATTTGCTTCTGAAGCCACTTTGGAATATGTTCCGAGGCCCTTACTTGCATGGATCTATTAGTCCTCCCTATGTATGTGTCACCACACGTACATTTGAATTGGTAGATACAATGGGATGTGACATTATCGTTCACATGCTGTGGGGGTTTGGGGGAATATAAGGGCTTCGTGGTTTCGATTACTCGAACCCTGGCTGCATAGTAAGTCCTTCTAACAGCAGCGTTAAGTCTCTGCTTAAGGATTGCACTCTGAGAGTCACCTTTGTACGGAAGGCTGATGAAGACATCCTTCTTTGGGACTGACTGCAGTTCTAGTTTTGACGCTCTGCTGATTTTGTTCTGCCTGATAAATGTTGATGGATAGTTATTTTCCAACAAAATATCGGTCAGTGTTCCTCTTTCATCTTCTAAAGTATCCTCGGTGCATATTCGTTGAATTCTGCTGAATAAGCACCTTACTAACGTTCGCTTGTACTGAACTGGGCAAAAGCTATGGTAATTCAGATATTGCCCTGTCCATGTAGGTTTTCTGTAGATAGATCGTTTTATGGATCCATCCTGCCTTCGACTAATTAATATATCTAGGAACGGCAAGCAGTCATCTTCCTCTCTTACACATGTCAAAGATATGCTGTTCTGTACTTCGTTCAGTCGGTTTAGAATTGAAGTAGCCTGATTTGAGTTTTCACAAATGATCAGGATATCGTCAACATATCTTCGATACAGATGGGCTTGGTCTATTAAGTTGTCGGCTAAGTTCTCAACGTGTGACATAAATATGTCGGCTAGGAGGGGACCTAAAGGACTTCCCATAGCGACACCATCAACCTGGCGGAAATGTTCGCCCTCAAAGGTGAATTTAATATTGTTTGTACATAAAAGTAACAGCTGTTTTAGGTGATCCAAAGTAATGGGTATCGGAAACTTATGCACAGAAATATAACCAAATAAAATGTCAATTGTCTTGACCAAAGGGACATTGGTAAATAATGAGTTAACATCAAATGAACACATAAATTTACTCTTTATGTTGACATGCTCAAGGCATTTGATTACTTCAAATGTATCTTTTAAGGTATACATACAAAATTGCTTCTTAATGGAATCCAGTTTTCGCTTACATTTTCAACTCAATTATTACATGCGGCTATTGATCATGCTGAAATTTGGTGTCAGAGAAAACATAATTAGTACTGGATATCAAGCTAATCTGTATTGTTCTCAAGTGTATTCTACAGTTATGAAGTGTCAAATCTTAGGAGAAATACATTGTCAATGAAATTATCTGATACAGGTTCACGTTAAACTTAAAATTAATTTAATAATTCCCATTGTAACATTAAGAAGAAGAAATTCAGCGAAGAGACTCTTTTCAACAAATTTATTTTCAAGCTGTACAATCGTATATATATATATATATATATATATATATATATATATATATATATATATATATATTGATATTTGGAAAAAAATGTATCCCGTGAAGAAAACTAGACACTATATGGTGATGACAATAATAATAGAGCAGATGATGACAGAGGCATTTATGATTATAATAACAATTGAAGTGCGAATGATAACAAATAGATTATGTAATATATGGATTGGTACATAGAGAGTATATAACTCGGAAGGGGTGAAAAAATTGTTGAAAGTGGTAAATCAATTAAGTATTATGTAATGGCATTAGACAAATTGGACAAGATGAAGTCAGTGTTTTGTAAAAGGATTAAGACAATTAAGTGAAATAACACCGGAAACTAGTTGAAGTGAAGGCGATTATAATGACAATAATAGTGATAAAGGAAGGATACAAAGGTTAAATTAACAAAGTGGGGGGGGGAGCTAATGGGGTGGGGAAATGTTATGGCCATGATGAAGACAGTGACTGCACATACTTCTTTTGTACACACAGATCAGGTTTTAGTTCATGAATAGCTAAAGCCTCTGCTGTTTTAAGGAGTTGAGAAGGAAGAGAACGTGGGAGGTTTGGGCGAATTTGATGAATAATTTCGAAGTTATCGTCTGGATTTGTTGTGTAATGGAAGTCAATCAAATGTTCTAGAATCAAACTTCTAACAGACTTTCTTTCACGTTTGTAAAACCATTCCATATATTACATAATCTATTTGTTATCATTCGCACTTCAATTGTTATTATAATCACAAATGCCTATGTCATCATCCGCTCTATTATTATTGTCACCACCATATAGTGTCTAGTTTTCCTCACGGGATACAATTTTTTCCAAATATCATATAAATACGATTGTACAGCTTGAAAATAAATTCGTTGAAAAGAGTCTGTTCGCTGAATATCTTGTTCTTGAAACTTGAATTTACCCAGTCGTGTTTTCAAGGGGCTAAGAAAGCCTATCAAAGTTAGCAAAGACACTAGAGCTGAATAGTTAGCAAACTAAGAAAAAGGGAAAATTATGATTAAATATCCTTTCAACTATTTCCTCTGAAAAATAATTTTTCCGGCCCTCATATACACAATCCAAAGAAGTTGATAACACTTTATTGAGAAGAAAGTGGGATTTCTACTCAACCATTAGATCTGATCCAAGTATAAATTTAGGGCGACTTTAAAGGCCACCCTAATGACTGATGAGGTAGCCAATTACATCTCTCTAATTTTTGGAAAAGTACTTTTATAAAAGAAATACCGTAGACTGATCGGTCATTTCATTAGTTGCCAGGATGGCCTTTAAAGTCACTCATAAACTTACCGAACACTACTATGAAATATACAAGTTGAATATTAGCATTGTGATAATTAGAAGACATAGTTTGAAACAAATACGTATTTGCAGTAAATTCCCTCTATCTTCGCACTCATACACAATTCACTCACACACCTACTAGGATTGACTACTGAGAATATATAAGCTACCCAAGATTTCGTTTTGCTTTCATCACCTTTACCATTCTCTTCTAATTCATACACCCGAATTAATTTAACCATGTTGATATCAAATGAAGACTATACTGAATAATTTGTAGAGTGTAAATGATGTAAAACCTGACGAGAATTTACCGAAAATACATATTAGCTTCAAACTCTATCTTCTATAAATAAGGTTCTTTAAAAGATTGCTTATTGCAGTTTTGTGATATTCACAAGCAAGTTAATTAAATAGATACAGGTGTACAGTTTTATCATTTCTTTTCATAAATGTCTGTCTTAGTTGCCTCATCTGACACAGAGCTAAAAATATTTAAATCCATCGTAATAGACTGTAATTATCTGTATAGGAACGACAAGAATATGCCTAAAGGCATATCAACTAAAGAGTATCGTGAAGCTGTTAAACATTTAAAAATGAACAAGTACACCGTTATCCCTAAGCTTGATAAGGGGGCTGGTATGGTGATTATGAACTGAGATGATTATTATGAACTTCAGTATCCAGATTTGATCTGATAAGGTTGAATAAGTTGAGCATTGGGTAAATGAAATATATTTATAAAATCTCACTGAGGTAGAAAAAAAAATTTCTGAAGCTTTGCAACTGCATGGAAATCCTTTCTGCAGAGAATAAAACCTGTACAAGTTATCGACCTTTTAAACGGGTGACTGTGAAGGCCATCCTAGCTACATTCGAAATAATCAATTAGGCTTCCTCATTTAGGCTGGAAAGGCAAATTTTTATAAAA